TAGTCAATAAGCGATAGATCTGACAAGTACGGTTGATGGCGCAGAGTTTAGTTGCGCAGCTCGTTTAACCGCGGTAGGGCCCGTTGTACGATGCTTTCCTGCGCATTGTCCTGAAGGAGGACCGGTCTCTTTCTCTTGACCAATGAAAGGCGTACCCGATAGCATGTCTTGCTGTATGTACTTCTCCGCCGTAATCTTTTACGTGAAATCAGGAAAAAGTCGTAGATCGAACAGGCTGTAGACCAGCAAACGATCAGTTTGACTTATCAGTGCAATTTCGAGCTTCCTATAAAATGTTGCGGTACTCCATTACGGTCCAACCACTGAGTCGGTCGTCATCGGTTATCGCAGAGGATCCACTGCTTGTCACTATCGCACGAAGGTCGAGAAACGAGCCTTTCTTATTGAGAAGAACAAGCGTCAATGATACCTCAAAAGGGCTATTTCTTTGGTTGTCGCTTCTGATTCATATGGCATCTATTTGTAGAGTTCCTTCGATTTTCCAATTACCAATATTTGCTTCGAATCAGTTGAGATGCTTAAACAAGTTGTGTGTATTTTTTGTACAGAACTAAACGTGTGCATTCTCGATAACATTCTCGCAATTTGTGAAAAAAAACGATTTAAAAAAGTTGTTGCTAAGAAATGCACAGGGATAAGAAATCACTGCTTTTGCTGTTGATTGGGCGCGTGTGACGCAGAGGTCGGAGGAGCCCTGCACGTGGAATCGATCCCCGCGTCCATGGCCCGTCAAGCCTTCCCATCCCTCCGGAGTCGGCAAATTGGTACCAGACTTGTCTGGGAGGATAGCAGCACTGGCTCGATACATCGATAGACCACCACGAGTCATTGTAAAGGCCAAATATGCATTCAATCACCTCCAAACGATGCTTAATGAAATTAAATGCATGGCCCATCCCTCAGAGATTGATCAACGCCGAGAACTTTAGCCTTTTTCCATTGTTGATTAGTGTTAATAGTATACCTATAAGAACATTTGCTTACTTATATAACTGTTCTTTACCACTTGTACGGAATCCAACGCATCCTTCTTTCAGTTTAGTATCATCCACCTGTAGCGCCCGTGTAGCGCAATGGATAGAGGCGCCCTGCAATACATATGGGGTCAAACCCGCGCCCAAGCTCACCAGCGCTTCCATTCCTATGAAGCCGGTAAATACCAGACCTGTCTTGGAAAATAATAGCACTGTATCGATATATGGGTAGATGACCACGAGTCGTTGTATTGGCCAGATGTGCATTCAATAATCTCTAACAGTGTTTGACGAAGTCGAATGCATGACGTTTCCATCAGGAATAAATCAACGCCGAGAGTTATATCCTTTCATCCTTTCTTTTCCACCCTTCACACTACGGATTTATTACAGGTCACTGCTACAATTTAAAGGCTTTGTCTTCTTCATAAAATTCTCCAATGCTGGTTTAGTCTAGTCGTCCACTGAATCTTGGGTTAAACCTGTTAACTCGCTCTGAATTCTTCACCATAAGCAGCCATCGACCATTATGGACCGAATGGGAGTTTTTTTTTTGAATAACTCTGGGAACAATTTGCCGACCAAAAAGATATGGGCGCTTGATATCACGGTTCGAGCTCAAAGCAAATCGAGTTATATTCATTTGTCTGTCCGACCATACCTCCAACATTGGAATAGTCCCACCCACTCTTCCACTTGGTTCATTTTCTCGCACTCATTATCCACTAACGTCTTCGGATTTGCATGTACGTTCGGTTGCCACTTGAGAACATTTCCGTCTTCATGAACTTCGTTGTAGCCAAGTTGACTTGTTTCCTTTCGATTTCTCTGATTCTCCAGGTCTTCACTACAGATAGTTTCCGATTTTGGATTGGAGGAACCTTTTCCGTTCTACTTGGTAAGCCTGACACGAAATTGCCGACACCGGGAAGGAGAAGGCTTGGTTGACATCGATGCGAGATCAAACCAGCGACAAGTATGCATACTATTACGCGTATACGTGATCTTTATTCACAGTGCTTCCTGCGCTCGCTGCTCAGTGATAAATTGGACTATGAGAATTCATAACTGAGTTATGAATTCTCATAGTGCAATTTATCACTGAGCGAATGAATTCATTCTCATATGAGGAGCAAATATTTATTATGCAGAGGAAACAAAGCTCTAAGCATCATACTGGTAAGTAACATGGTTTTTCCAGCTTGGATCATCACTTGGTTTGAAGTGTTTGTCGCAGCTCACCACTTGGGCGTACTGCGCTGCTGACGGCACTGATCAGACGAATTGTTGCAAAAGAAGAGGTCTGTACAGCTTACGGACAATTAGAATAAACGAAGAATTATTGTGCAAATGCCAGAAGTTTCGTTACTTTACTCGCCAGCCATCATTTCTCTTACTCTCTGGAGAAAATAACCACTTTTTGTAATCCAAGTGAAAAACAAAGTAGGTAAGAAAAATCGCAATTGAAGTAGTCGACCTGAGACAGCAACAAAAATAGTGTGTTCCAAACGAAGCTAAAACTCATATCTAGGAGTTCCAAGCGACTGCCTTTCATTCTGCAAAGGTGACGTTCCCACGTGTGACACTCAGTCGATATTCAACTACCAAGCATGTACACAGGTCTGGCACTTTTTTCTCATGCATTCTGTTTTTTTTTATTTTTTATTTTATTTGGTCCGTCTTCACATCTACTGTTCGGATCACAGCACTTCTCACATTCAATTCGTTTCCTCGCATCCATTGTCCACGAAGATCTTCCAACTTTTACGTGTGGCCTCGGTTGCTGCTTGAGGATTTTCATTTCATCTTCATTGTCGTAGAACGCTGGTCGAGCAATTTCTCTAGGAGTTCTGAGTTAGCCGGGCTGAAGCGTTCTCAATTGGATTATAGAGAGTTGTTTGTTTTTCCAGACAAGTGCGGTGCCAATTTCCTGACTTCGGAGGGATGAGAGGCTTAGTTGACCCGGAGCGGAGTCGAAGTAGAACCATGCTCGTAATGACGGACATCACTACCACTGTGCTATCCGTCCTGTTGTGTATAATTTCTAAGTTTCAAAAAAAACTACTATTAGGAGAACTACGGTGGCAGTAAACCATGTGAACAAATCGCGCTAGATAAGCTTATTGATTCAACATAATTCGTTTCCTTGATAGTATACGCATCCCAGTATTTTTGACCATTGCGTTCTTCGGGTCATTGGGATTTCACTTGAAAACACTCCTTTGTTCGAGTTTTGATATGCATATTGATAAGTACTTGAGTTTTTTTCCAACCAGAATTCCCTTATGTGGACTTGGTTTATTGATAATATTAAAGGAGGTTCCTACAAATCCTTATTGTGGCTGACATTTCGGCGGTCGAGTGTCTACATCGACTGCTTTTTCTTGCGACGTGCGTCCTCGTAGTTGCCATTCGAATCGTGTCTCGAGTTAGTTCTAATGGAAAACGCCATGAATCACTTAGTTGTATTGTAGTTGTTACTATATTCTGATTGCTACGAGATCGACGGTCATCACAAAAGAAATAGTTTTGAATAGTAATTGACCTAGAACCGAACTGCCACTTTGGGAAGTGTGCCTGGTGAGGTCAATTCATTCCACAAGGAGAAACCGCTCTGTACAAAATGAAAGTCCCGAGTGACGCCATTCGTTCATTCGTTTGGTGTTCCCAGTCCACTTGATTTAACTCAGTACAACTGCGACGATTCACAGAATGAACGGGGGTTGATACGGAGACTCGAACCATCACGATTCTGTGGAAAGCGATACCACAGAACCGGTAATCACACTTGAGATTTCTCAATCTCGCTTAAAATTCTCAGTAAACTAAAACTCTAATTGCCGATGCAGCCGTTCAGTGAAAGGCGATGTTAGGAATCTTGCCATGATGTCCATACCCGATAGTTGAAAGGTTTCTTTTCTTGAATCACAAAGAATCGTGCATACCTCTGCAAAATCTCCACTTGACCGCAACAGATTTGCTTCCTCTGGAGTCTCGAAGACCGTGCTACGGCTTTCTCAGATTGCCTCACTTGCAGCTTTGTTCCTTCTCTACTCTTCAGTGCACTTCCTAATGAGTATACTGAACTTCTTCTCACCTTTAGAGACTGACTTGGGGCAGGGATGGAACCTCGCCATGCATTACAACTCAAGACCCATAAAACCCCTAGCAAAAACGAGGAGATAGTCCGTTGAAGGACCATAATCTTTATCTTTACATAGATACTTCTTGATTCTTGATCTTTAGCACATGGCGACTATTATGCAATGTCAAAAGGAAGGACTGGAAGCAAAGCCGAGATACAATCCTGACTGGTCGTCTGTTTGTGATTGGGAAGGAAAGTGAATATTTTCATCTCGTCAAGATTCAACAGAATAAAGCGTCATTTTTTGAAGTGAATGTTCGGCATCCTGAAAGGTCTTTGCTTATAACAACTGCTAAACTTTTTCTACAACAACCACTCCATTTAAATATGAAATAGAGAAAAAGAGAAAACATAGAAGAAAACGGCTGACTGTTTCGTACAAAAGCAGTCCTTACCTGACTCATAGGAAGAAAGTCATCATCATTTTTCATCAAGAGATTTAAGAGCAACGATAATGTTGATTTACATTATATTTATTGTTTTGTTATTAATTATATTTGGCAACGACACCTGTAATTCCTGGTTATTTTATAGCGAAATAAGGTAGAATTTTGTATAAGCAAGAGGAAATAAGTACCTACTAAGGGAGATATAAATTGAAATTGGAAGTGAAGTGAAACGGAGTGAAAAACTTGAACTGGAAAAATGAAAACAGAATCGTCCACTAAGGAAAATTAATCAAAAGCACAGAAGGGGTGTAATCAACAAGGTCAAGTGGCAAAATTTCTATTCTGTAATTTTTCAGATATCGTTAAGTCCCACATGGGGAGATTTTTGGAAGACCGGTCATCTTTAATAGATATTGAACAAGTCAAAATCAAAGGTGGTTCTGCGAGAAAAACTGAAAGTGTATCAGACTTCTAGACTGTGAAATTCTGGATGAATGAGGGAATGATGGACTGTTCGAGCTTGTTCCATGTTTCGCGTTGATGCTTCTCGAGGTGCACCAACGAGGTCTCCACTTGTCGGACGAGCCGTCGGTAGCGGCGCGTGACGCTCGTCAGCTGTTTCTCCTTCTCTTCGACCACTTTTCTCAAACACTGTAGTTCATTTGAGTTCGAAGGGTCACTCGCCAAATTCTTCCTGTAAAGAAACATCCCCTATTTTCACATAATTTGTATTTAATATGGATTCCGTTAGCAATCGTGAAGTCATCAGTTGTTTAATATTCGGAAACATTACTACTATTCCGTAGCGGTCAATAGCGATTGGTCAACAGAGCAAAAGAAGACAAAAAAATTAATCACTTCAGTTCCGCTACTGACATCTCGAGCTCGTTTCGTTCTCGTTCCAGCCGTTCCACAAGTGCACTGCTCGCTTTTTCCTTTTGTTCCAAAACCAATGTAAGACTCTGAAGGGATGAGAAAAAGGATTTAAGAGAAAAAAACAGCCATTTTTCGTAGTAAAAAGATTAATACCGCTCTCCGTGTGATTCTTCCCCATATTACTCTTCTGGAATAGATAGATAGTTATTCGGATTCTATTCTCACTGTTAGTCCTTATTTTGCCGACAAGAAAACCAAGCCTAGTCTTCTGGGTTACTCGGATACATGGAAACTTGGATGGCTTGTCTTCACTAGTTGTGCGAGTCTTAGCATAATTTCCACTTTTTCGGAGTTTTGTTGATTTAGCCATTATAGTTTCCTAGAGTCCTGAGGTCAGCCTAGCCAAAAGTCTGCCCCAGGTTTTCACCACCACAGGCAGTCGCCGCCCTTGTGAATTAGAAGGAGATTTGCCACTATGCGACTAGTTTGGCACCACGACGGTGACGGATTCTGGCATTGGTTTACTCATAGCTGGTTTCCTGGTGGAAATGCCGGACTCCTTCTCAGCTTGGGAGACCATGGAAGAGAGATGAATCCTCTGTTGTACATCGTAGCCCGACACCAAGGAACACCTCTTCGACACCATGACGCAGTTAACCGTTGGGAGGTTCCAGATTACTAGTTTGAAAAAGCACCATTGTGTGGCACTTTTGTGTGAAAGCAAATGATTATAAATGAAGAAGAAGAAAGAAGAAGAAAGGAAGAAAGGAAGAGAGAAGAGAGGAGAGAAGAGAGAAGAAAGAAGAGAGAAGAGAGAAGAAAGAAGAAAGAAGAGAGAAGAGAGAAGAAAGAAGAGAGAAGAAAGAAGAGAGAAGAGAGAAGAAAGAAGAGAGAAGAGAAAAGAAAGAAGAAAGAAGAGAGAAGAGAGAAGAAAGAAGAAAGAAGAGAGAAGAGAGAAGAGAGAAGAAAGAAGAGAGAAGAGAGAAGAAAGAAGAGAAAAGAAAGAAGAAAGAAGAGAGAAGAGAGAAGAAAGAAGAAAGAAGAGAGAAGAGAGAAGAGAGAAGAAAGAAGAAAGAAGAGGAGAAAGAAGAGAGAAGAAAGAAGAAAGAAGAAAGAAGAAAGAAGAAAGAAGAAAGAAGAAAGAAGAAGAAGAAAAGGAATATTCGAAAAACTATATGAAAGGTACTGCTCACCTTCACCTTATCTTTCAATCGAGTCTTTTCGTCATCGTTATTCCTTGACAAAGCTGCTGCGATTGTGGACGCTTCTCTGGTCCTAAGCTCCTCGAAATTTCGACGCAGACATGAAAACTCACGATAGGCAAAAAGAGTACCGACTTTTTGCTCCAGATTTCCAGCAAAACGGAGAAGTGGATTTTAGTAAAAAGTGGAAGAAATGGAAGGTGAGGAAGAGACAAATACGGACAAAACAGGACAAATAAGGACAAAAACAAAGTTCTTTTAGAAGCGAAAGCAAATCAAACGAAGAAGTCAATTGTCCTTTAATTCCTCTGTATTCACAGTAGCCCTGAAAAAATCGCAGTCGACGGGATTTGGTAAAAAGAAAAATTACTCAAAATGGTTTTGGTGTATCCATAGAAGGAGCAAAAACCAGAGATTTAACGGAGGGTTGCTCCGGTGACCTTGACCAGACTAAATTTCTTTTTTATCCAAATCATTTTGTAAAGAAGTAAAAACTGGATCTCGCCAAAAATTTTCCACCATCTTCATGAAACGTTGGCTGTTTAGAAAAATAGGTAATGACGATCAGAATTGAAGACGAACACTTTTTTCAACACAAAAACTCCACTTTCCTAAACTTCCTTTCCTTTACTAACTATCAGATTGGGATTAGGTGAGAGCGATTGTCAATACAAAAGCCACCATTTTGTACTGGTATGTAGCGATTCTTTTTAAAAGATTGTAGTAAACACTGTCGTACCTTCTATTACGTTCGTCTTTTCTTCGCTAACGCGCTCAAGATCGGCCAACTTGTTCTCAAATGACGTCGTTCTCAGTTTTAGAGTCTTACGAAAATCCTCCTCTTTTGATAGCCATGCGACTTCCTTTACCATAGCTTCTTTTAACCGGCGATTTATGTCACTGAAGCAAACTAACAGAAAATTGTTACATTTGGATGAATGCAGTGGTTCAAGGCAAACCTGCATAAGGCAATAGACTTGTTCTGCCTTATGGTAGCAAGACTTTTGGCCGATTCCAACTCTGCCGCCTGCCTAAATTTAGTTTTTATGGCACATTATCGAAGCCTAGCAATAATGAGCTGTTGTTTCATTTCACTTCTGCAAACGAACTCTAGTCTTATTGCACACCGCAGTTCACCTGACTTCGGTAAAAACCTTCAACGACCATCGGATTACGAAACATGAGTTCATGCCCTAGAAAGGCTAACAAACTTGTGTGCAATGTTAACATCTCAGAGAAGAAGGCATGCGAAGGTGTAAAAGAATAAAAGGATAAAGTTCTCGGCGTTGATCAATGCCTGAGAGGTGCGACATGCATTCGACTTTGGGCAGCTCTACTATACAAGAAAGAAAACAATCTACAAGCCTCTTGTGAATATTATCCTCATGAGTCTAGCACGAGTGACAAACGAATCAATGCTGAATAAACAAGCCGAGTTTCTCCCCAGACCAACATTGATCATATCCAAGGCGTAGCAACACTCGCAGAAGTAAAACGAGGGAACCAATGGATTTGTAATTTAGTTAAGTCCTTGGTTACCATAAAAAGATTCCTGCTAGCACAAAAACTTGAGACAACATGGGGAAAATAGATGATATCCTGTAGTTGAGACTCAATTTTTCATTCTCGCAACACTCATCATCACCTGGTTCCATTCAGCCGTTCGATATCTGCACAATAAATGATGCTGGCTTATGTAAGAAAAGGAATTCTACTCACTAAAACAGCAAGGCATTTTAATCTTTCATTCATCAAGGATACATTAGCGCATGGAATAAACCAGTCAAGTTTAATACTTCAAAAAAAATGCCTAAGCCGCTTTCATTGGTCATTTTTCACTCGTAAAATTCCATGAGCACTCACGATCTACTTTCTTGCTGTACCTTTTTCAGCCGTAAACTTACAAGGCTACTGGCGACAAGTTATGAACAATTTCTTCCCGATGGATCAGAAAGAATACAAAACAAACCTCTGGAGTGTTGTTTGCAGCTCGACACATTTCAGTCGCTCCTTTCGTAGTTCCTCTTGCAACGAATGAACTTCTTCGTGTCTAAGGGACTGGATGGTTCTGACCTCTGACAGTAGTTCTTGTACTCGACCTTCACTTTCAAGAAGTTCTTTCTTCCACAACTCCTCATATTTCACAGCACTTTGGTCGTTGTCCGACCTGGAAACAATGGAAATAAGCATAAAAATTAAAGCACAACGACAAAGTGGACACTCTTCGCGCTCGCCTTAATCAATCTTTATTTATTAGAAAATCTTAATGTATTTCGGTATTGATAGTGATGAGGTTTGGAATATTAACATTTGCTTTCGAAGGATTAATTTCATTCAAGAAGAACACCTGCATTTTGCTGAAAAATGTTGCCATTCCTGCGGCCGGATAAAAAGGTGTTGAAGGAACAAAACGCACAAAAGATTATCCATGATTTCCAATTTTTGTTTGTGGGAACCTGGACTAACTCCAAGACTGCAAAGAGAATCGATTCGAACAACATTCCGCGATATCCATAGCGAACACAAAGTCCTTAGACGTCAGCCAAAATAACACACGAAATGCTAGTGCTGCTGATTTGTCACTGATTTTTAAATGACGGTGCATAGTAGGATTCACCTCTCAACAATATTAATTAAGCTGGTGAAGTGGTCGACAATATTCTGTATGGTTGAGCTAACACGAGGTTGGTGTTAACCTTTACTCTGCTAATGTATCAGCGCCTTCATCTTTCTCAGAGTAGCGTTGATCCAAGACGATGGTCCACAGGCTGGTCATTGTCCAGATTTGTACAATCCTCATTTGCTCTTTTTCGCATCGAGTCGAATCCGAATCCAGTAGAGGAAGCACCGCTCGAATGAAGAATCTCAGCCAGCCATGCGCTTTTATTCAGGATAGGTGTTGGTCGATTCCCGCTTTCAATACTATCTACTTTAGGAGCTCAGTGCGTCCTACAGCAGTCGGTACTTCGTTTCCCGGCTGGTAGCGTAGCAAACAATATCTTAAAAACCGACTTTCATTCAACCTCGATAGAAACCATCAGTACTATTTTAAAAAATTAGAGGAATAAAACTTTGCACCAACCTCATACTAACTCAATAATATGGAATATTACTGATTATTGTTGCCGAGGTTTAATGAAAGTCAGTTTTTGAGATATCCTTAACAGCTTGACCTTCCCTTCCGGATGCCTATCTTCTCGCCAAAGCATAGAACGAAAGAACATTACACTAGTACTGTGCTGATACTCAAGTGATTCGGGATAGGTTAAACACATGATACCTAAGGCCGAGAATTCTGATAAGCGTCAGCAAAAACTTTTGGCTTTCTTTTAAAAGTTTCCAGCTATGACAACTATGAAAATTTGAGACTAACTTGGATGTATGCTGAAGAAGTTCTTCAACCTGGTTGTTGAATGTTCGCCTCAGTTCAACCTCTTTTGCCTTTCCTTGCCTCGAAATGTCATCGATTTTGGACTTCAACTCTATTGATTCACCATACATCCGTTGATTTTCCTCCTTCAATAGTTCTTTCTCACGTTCCAGAAGTTCGATTTGACGAGTTTGTGCAGCGAGCTTCTAAATTTCTCATAACTACCATACATATCCTGTCGTTCAATAAAATAAATTGGGAGACAGTCAAGCAATGACACTAATGAAGATAAACGCAACGATGGAAGTACAGCCTGATAGATATATTACGTGTTTCTAAAATTAATGTGCGATTTCAGCCTGCATATTTAAAGTGGCATGTCCCAGCTCGAAATAAATTTTTCTGATCGAAAAGCCGAAAATCTATTCAATTGTGTCCATTAAAAAAATTTACTTATATTGGCTGCTCGAAATTCTGGTCTACTGGAAGCGATGAAGACACTGAAGGCAGTCTCGGCCTCGGTTTAGTTTCTGAAGCATTTCTCACACGAGTTGCTGATATATTTGAAGAACTATTAGTGGGTGGACAAGAGGCCTGACGAGTACGGTGGATGAGGCAGAGTTTAATATCCAGCTCGTTCAACTGCTGCAGCGTCCGTAGCGCGAGTTGTGGTGGCACGTTATCCTCAAGGATTGGTCCCCTTCCCTCCACCAGTAAAGGGTGCATCAGCAGGAATTTCTTCAACTCGCTGAACGTACTTCTCCGGCGTAATCGTTTCACCTAAAATCAGGAAGCTGTGATGGATCGAACCATCTGTGGATCACTGAGTAGCATGACTTTCTATCGGTGCAATTTCGACCTTGGGAAACGTTTCAGAGCTCCACCGCGGTTCAAACACTGAGGAGATCGTCCCCAATTGTCGCAGACAACCCATTCGTTTCTCGTCACATGTCGCAATATGGTCGAAAAACAAGTCGTTCTTATTGCATAGAAGAAGCTCGAATGAGACCTCAAAACGGCGACTTCGTTGGTTGTCATTTTGTTGGTGCCACATCCATTTCTAGGGCTTCTTCGATTTTCCAAATTTCTTTTGACGCTCCAGCAAAGTTGGTATGCTAACACAGAATTCTACTGCAAGTCCTCGGAGAGTTGCGAGTGTATTTGCTTCCATCAAGGCTTCAATTCATCGTCGTCAGTAGAAGAACGACGTCCGTGATTTGCCTCACCTTCAAGATCGAATTTACCACAATCAAATTTCCAAAACCAACGCTGCACAGTGCATTTCTTAACACTTCCAAGCCTCCATTGATCACATATGTTTCGAGCTATTTTCTGTTTTAACATCCAAAATTTTAACCTTTAAAACTTCAAAAATCGACATTTCTATAACCTTAGAATAACCGATCAATACGCATTCTTTCACTGATGAGTTTGCGACAAATAAAATTTATGCAGCTAACGTTTCGACGCCTTCGTCTTCCCCTGAGCCGATGACCCAAGTCTGTGATCCACAGTCGTTCGCACTCTTGATGTTGTGTTTTCGTCATCGCATCGAATCGTATCTTCGGAAGTCATATGAATGCATATCTGGCATTTGCAATAACTCGCAATGGCCTACCAATGCATCGAGCCAGTGCTGCTATCGTCACAGACAAATCTGGTACCACTTTGCCGACCCGGAAAGATGGAGGGCTTGATGGGCTATGGGCGCGAAGATCGATTCCACATGTGTGCCGAAGAGCTCCTCCGACCACTGCGCCACGCGCGCCTTCAGTACTATAGCAAGTAAAATATTGATTTTGAGACCTGAGCGATTCCTGCTACATAAAAATGCCTTATAAGGTTCATTCCGAGTAAAAATCGGGCATTTTCCTTTTCCATATCGGACAATAATCAGACGTACGAAGATTCCAACACAGCATGGTTTTCATTTCCCAGAGAGAGATTCCATTAAAATGAATGAAAGTTATACGGAAAAGACTTTAACGACTATTGTTCGTGTAAAAGACAAAGGCGTTAAATGGTAAAGATAAATTTCAGATAAATATTTTACAACTAATATTCAAAGTGAAAATGGAAAGTAGTTCGACTTCCGACAACTCTTTACTCGATTCCTAGTAGGAAAGGACTTACCGTTTCCATTCCTAGCTTCCATGACTGACTCTCTTCGTACAGCTCAAGAAATTTCTTCTTCAGATTCATGTAGTTTTCCTGCGTTTTAAGAACGAGATCTCGTTCGATCTAAACGAAACGAGCGTTATCGGCTGGCTTGGCGACGACTATGAAAATTGGTCTACGGCTACCTCAAGGGCATGGCTTAGTTCGTTGATTTGCACAAGAGGAAGAACTGATGAGTTTCGTCGATCCATGTGCAGTGAGTATTGCAGGATCTTCGTTAGAAGATGAATCTAGCCGGAAACCAACAAGAAGAGTCAGTCAATCCAGAGCGTGTTACCTCAGAGTGAATGAAAGCAGCAGAAAAACCTGTGCTCAGAAGGAAGCAGGTGCAGAGCGATCGATTAGCAGCTGCTAAACATGGAAAGCAGCCGGGATTGGGCAGCAGGTAGCCGAGAATGATTTGACTTGAACCCCGCGAAGGGTGGGTAGTCGCGGGTTCGAGTCTGGTCTGAGCTCCAAGTTTTGCAAATATCTTAGCATCACTGTGGTGGCATTTCACATAATAAATACCCTGCTGTCGACAAATCGACTAATAAACATTATTTAATTTGCCACAACACCCGCGTGAGTGCCCTATATTCAAATCCCATCCTAACCAGGGAACGCCAGTAGGTTTGACAACTATAATCATCAGGCACACTACCAGGCATGTACCAGGCACGACTAATTGCTTAGGGCCTAGACCTTGCGACCTCTGCCGTCACCCTGCGACTCACGCCGCTGGTTCGGATCTAGCCACGCTTCCATGTTGTGAAATGAATTCTCCGGCTCTTGCGTTATCAAAATGTTTAGGTTATCATCAATCTTTCATGTAGCTATTACTAGTTTTTAGTGTACTAACTTTCTGAAATATTTCCACTCGTTACACGCACTCCACGAAATTCGCCACTGCCACACCAATTCATGTGTTTTGGCAAAAATAATGTAATGTTCTGTGCTCTTGCTTCATCATAATACTTGTGTTGTCATCAGTTGTCATCTATCCTACATGTTGCTAATACAGGAACTGTCTCAAATGCCTACACTGCTCATAAGTACTCCATTGCACAAAATCTTCCTCATCGCTGAATCACCCCGCTATCACTACCACATTCTTGCATTGTGATAACGTAAATCCTGCTGACGGTTTACCGCCTCATCATGGCTGAGAGGGTGTTCCTGGATGTCGGACTGCGATGCACGGCGGGAACACTCATCCCCCTGGCAGGGTCATCCAGGCTGAGAAGTTAGGAGTTTCCACTAGGAAACCTAGCCGAGAGTAAACCAGTACCAGGATCCACCACCGTCCTGGTACCAAATTAGTCGCATGGTGGCAGATCTCGCTCTGATCCACAAGGGCGGCGACCGTCTGTGGTGGTGAAGACCTGGGGCAGACTTTGGCCAGGTTTACCTCGGGATTCCAGGTAACCACAATGGCTTAACCATCAAATCTCCGAAAATGGTGATTATGCTGGGGCCCACACAACCAGTAAGGACGGGTCGTTCAAGGGTCGAGTTCAAGTGAGACAATGTAAATTCTTACGCTGTTGTAGGTGTACTAATATTATTACATGAACAATCATCTCTCATGTCCTTATAGTCCTGCTGTATATTGCTGTTAGTGTATTCCATTTAGTCAGATTACTACCTACTGAATCGTCTTACTTGGATTTTGTTGTGCATATGTTTCTAGTCTAATTGCATTATCGTGTAAATATTACGTATATAAACGGCTTAATTACCAAGTTTGAGGTGTTCGGCATTGTGACTTCTAGTCACAGAAAGCCGCACGTGACACAGGCAAAGGCGAGCAGCTAATCCGTCCGAATCTTCTTAACTACTTGGTATTCTTATATCAGCGGGCCGTCCCAACACCTGCCGTGAAAAAATGATAGGCAGTAAATAAAAACTTAAGAGTCAAGTCGGGATTTGACTTTTGGCCACCAAAAAACATCAATAAGTGTAATAAACTGTTAACGAAATTTTTTAAAGGACAAAGTATAAAGAGTTACAAGGTGGTATATCCGCCAGGGAACCGCAATGAACTGAACTCCATGAGCCATCGTAATTTGGATGCACATTTCCTCCAAACAATGAACTTCGGTGTTCTACCAGTGTAGCAAATCAGCGTTTTATCTTCCAAAACAAGCCTCACACAAACTTGCCGACCTCGAAGGAATGATGGGGTGGTTTTGCGCGCGGTGCGGGATTGAAGCACGAACCACAGGTGGATTCTAGGACACCTCTAAGCGAGGTACCGTATGGTACGCGCGCACTCCAAAGAAATTCTTTCAGTTGATTTCTACCTTAATTTTTTCAACTCCTGTTATCTTGACCCTTCGAGGCTCTGAAAAACGCGAAATCCGCTGAAACTTCAGCTGTTGTGAATGGATACTTGGATGGTCCGTCTTCACTGGTTGTGCGAGCCCTATCACAATTCCTGCAATTGGTTTACTATTAGCTGACCTTCCTGATGGAAACGCCAGATTCCTTCTCGGCTTAGAAGACTCTGTTCGTTTTAAATGATTAATGTATAATAGTAACCTTATGTATGCTAATCTAGAAAAAAAATTGATTTTGTTCGTATTTTTTTGAGCAAACGCGAGGTGTTATTGTTCTTTGTTCACGATTAAGCTGACGTTTCGGCGAATTTCGTCTTCTTCAGAGCCGCTTTCTATGAGGTCTCCACTAAGTATGTCACGTAGAGACCAACCGCACAGAAATCACGTGGAAGTATAATGTGATTATACTATATACTCATTATACTTCCACGTGATTTCTGTGCGGTTGGTCTCTACGTGACATACTTAGTGGAGACCTCATAGAAAGCGGCTCTGAAGAAGACGAAATTCGCCGAAACGTCAGCTTAATCGTGAACAAAGAACAATAACACCTCGCGTTTGCTCAAAAAAATACGAACAAAATCACTTGATCAATGCCGAGGTTAATAGAAAGTCGGTCGTGGCAGTTACTGCAGAATGTACCAGCAAAAAAAATTGAGTTGTTTCAAATAATAGTTAATGTAGCTTTCATGTTCGGGAACTTCCTCATCTGATTGAATCATTTCTTCATTCTGTTATGATAGACTGAATTTCTATACAAACCACCATTCAAGCTGCAACAAAATGGCCTAACTGGCTGTACTTCTAATTTCAACCAAAAATCACCTCAAGCACGAAATTCCCTGTTGGCTAACTCTCTTTGCTGACGAAAGAAATCTAAAAAACCCTACTTTATATGTCTGCTCCTTTCATATTCTACACTGATTGATATTGGAAGGGTAACATTTTCCTGACAACAGCGCCATCAGTTCCATTAATAAGACCATCAAAAGCCTTTAATCGTAAACATCGCGGACTAAAGAAACTTGATGAGCTTTGTTCGGAGAGTATCACAATTCTAAGAGGTCTATTTATTTATGAGATCTTATAAACTGATCTTCTTAAGCTGACGCGAGGTTGGTACAGATCTTCGTTGTCGTTGTCGTTGTTTTTGATGTTATTGATCGATGGCTGACGTTTCGGCGACTTCGCCTTCCTCAGAGCCTGGACGTACTTTATGTTAGAATACTTTTTATTATTCGGTGGAAAAGAAGGTTAAAGTATTAATGAAGATCAAACTTTCAAATAGACGCCATATTGAACAGAAAGGCCACTCACCGTGATGTTACGTGCGGGACTGGCCCACACGTAGTTCACGTGGAGTCGCGAGCAAGACACGCCCCGGGGTCAAAATATCATTTTGAAATAGGGCGCCAGGTCACGTGTGATAGTGAGGCATTCGTCCTTCCGGTTCATCTTTGGATTTTTGAAATTTATCCAAAACGCCTCAAGAGTTTTGCGCGTTGATGTTTTTGATTCCTGCGCTAGGATCCGCACATTCACTTCAAAATCATCGCCGTTGTGCTTTTGTGCCCTATGCGTACCTAGAGGGGTGTTTAAACGGATTTTAGCTTTCCCATCTAGATGTTCTTTTATGCGGACACAAAGTGGTCTACCCGTTTCCCCGATATATTCCTCGCCGCATGCATTACATGAGATCAAGTATATTATACCTAAACTCATGCAATCCCCGTCTCTCCCGTTAGGGCAGATCATACAGTTTTCTGAGCTGCACAAACGATCATAGAGACGGTTTCGAACTAACTGGCGGCGTAGGGTATTGGGTGGGATGTCAACAATCGTTACATAATTTTCAAGACCACTTTTTCTTAAGCACTTTTTAATGGCGTGACTTACTTCATTTGATATGAAGGGCAGCTTAAAGGGAATCTTATTTTCGTGTGAAATATTATTTTGGGAAACTACCCAGTGTTCTCCTCTAACCCGAGTGGCTTCAACTTNAAGACACGCCCCGGGGTCAAAATATCATTTTGAAATAGGGCGCCAGGTCACGTGTGATAGTGAGGCATTCGTCCTTCCGGTTCATCTTTGGATTTTTGAAATTTATCCAAAACGCCTCAAGAGTTTTGCGCGTTGATGTTTTTGATTCCTGCGCTAGGATCCGCACATTCACTTCAAAATCATCGCCGTTGTGCTTTTGTGCCCTATGCGTACCTAGAGGGGTGTTTAAACGGATTTTAGCTTTCCCATCTAGATGTTCTTTTATGCGGACACAAAGTGGTCTACCCGTTTCCCCGATATATTCCTCGCCGCATGCATTACATGAGATCAAGTATATTATACCTAAACTCATGCAATCCCCGTCTCTCCCGTTAGGGCAGATCATACAGTTTTCTGAGCTGCACAAACGATCATAGAGACGGTTTCGAACTAACTGGCGGCGTAGGGTATTGGGTGGGATGTCAACAATCGTTACATAATTTTCAAGACCACTTTTTCTTAAGCACTTTTTAATGGCGTGACTTACTTCATTTGATATGAAGGGCAGCTTAAAGGGAATCTTATTTTCGTGTGAAATATTATTTTGGGAAACTACCCAGTGTTCTCCTCTAACCCGAGTGGCTTCAACTTCGTAGCCATTGGAAATGGCAATTTTTCGTGCCAGGTTTCGCGATTTCTTCCTTTCCTCTTTTCCTGTACACACACTCTACACACATTTTTAGCCGTACGATACATATTTTTGATAAGTGCTTTTTTCATGTGTGAAGGATGAGAGGAGAGGCAGTGGACTAGAATGTTTTTACTACTTGGCTTGCGATACCATTTTGTTAAATAGCCACTTACTGAGAGCTTTATTTGGATGTTTAAGA